TCAGCCTTCCAAGCAGTTGGAACTACAGGCATGCCTGGCTAATTTTTTGATTTATTGTAGAGATGAGGTCTTACCAAATTGCTCAGACTTGCCTTGAACCCCTGGGCTCAGTCAATTCTCAAATTTCCATCTCCCAAAGTGCTGGGATTACAGGCGTGAGCCACTGCACCTTACCGCCAGTCTTTTATAAGGTTGATAATCCAATTCATGATTGCCTTCTAAATACCCACCTCTTAATGCCATCATTTAAGTTCCAATATATGAGTTTTGGAGGGACACATATATTCAAACCATAGTACCAATATCTAAATAGATAACACTGATTGCCAGACATCTCACAAGCACCTCCAAACCACCCCATCCAAAGCAGCTTTTCAGTCTCTTCCCATCTCCTCACCAGACTGGTTTACCTTGGGCCCGCAATTCCCCACCATCTTTTTTTTTTTTTTGAGTTGGAGTCTCACTCTGTCACCCAGACTGGAGTGCAGTGGGCGCTCCCAGCCACCGCAGACCTGTTGTGCTCCAGCGATACTTCCACCTCAGCCTTCCGAATAGCTGGAATTACAGGCACATGCTACCATGCCCAGTTGATTTATTTATTTATTTATTGTAGAGATGAGGTCTCGCTGCCCAGGCGGGTCTCGAACCCACGGGCTCAGGCAATCCACTCACCTCAGCCTCCCAAAGGTGTGGGATTACAGGCTGAACCACCGAGCCCGGCTTCTCCACCATCTTCTAAGCACCCTTAACCACTTTTACCTAAAGATAAAAAGTGTCTTAATCAAAATTTTCCTGAATAAGTAGGGTTTTGGGCGTTAATGAGATCAGTTATTCTGCATGCTTCTGAGAAAGGGGTAGGGAAAATGTGGACTGATATTAAGGTAGGAAGGATCTTTCTTTTCTGTAAGGAAACAGAGTTTCCTTACTTGATAGTGACAGATAGGAGGTGAGGTGATAGTTACCAAGGGGAACTGACAAATAGGACAGTGGCATCTCAGTCCTTAGAGGTATATCCACAATGAATTAGTTATCCTGAAGGATTTAGCCCCAAGATATCACCCAACTCTACAATCTCCAGAGCTCATTGTGATCCAATATTGTAATTATAACAGTATTCCTTTTTTATTATACAAAAGGGACCCCCCAAAAACCGGAATGATCTTTTGGAGGGTGGGCTCCTTGTAGTACAGGCTTCTCTCACTACCAGCTAGTGTTGTGAAAAGCTGTGCTCTGCTTCAGTGAATTTTTTGTTGTTGTTGACATTCTTTCAATGCATCTGCCCATTTCTTGATGGGTGATTTACAAGTACACCTGCCCACACCTCGCTGAGTGTTCAGCAGTTTTTGATGAAAAATGGCATGGCCCCCATACTCCACCCTGCCTATTCACTGGATCTCACCTAGAGCGACTTATTTTTCTTTCCTCAAAAAAAAAAAAGCAAAAAAAGTCCTCCAAGAGAAACATTGTACCGATGTGGAAAAAAGAGGTGAAACAAAACCAAAAAATAACAGAAGTACTAAAAGTCATCAAAACTGATGAGTTCAAAAACTGTTTTGAGACTAGGCGTGGCAGCTCATGCCTGGAACCCAGCACTTTGGGAGGCTGAGAAAGAAAGATCACTTGAGATGAGGAGTTCGAGACCAGCCTGACCAACATAGCAAGACCCTGTCTCTATTTTTTTTTTTTTTTAAAGAAAAACTGTTTTAGGCAGTGAAAAAAGAGTTTTGATGTTATATTACATCAAACAGAGAGTACTTTGAAGGTGACTAAAGTTTAACATGGAAGACTAAATACATAATTTTTTATTAATACATTCTGTTTTACTTGGGTCTCCCTTGTATATGCTTCTGTACTTGAATATCAAGACCTAGTTATTTTAAGACAATGTCCTGGCTTTCCTCCTATTTCCTGGCATTTTGGGTCAACCTAAGTGTCTCCTTTTCTTTCAGCTGCCTTTTACATTTGAAGTCCTCAAGGGTTTGTCCTTTTCCTGCAGACATTTCCTCCACGACACTCAGCTGAGGGGCTCTCTATCTGGCATGCAGGTGCTCCCATTGCTGCATGCCAGATACCCCAGTCAATTGCTTAGGCTGAAAGGCCTCAGTGTCTTCTTGGAGTCACTTATTCTTGCAACTCACACAAAGCTTATAAATTCCTGTTTATGTTGACTTCCCATCCTTCCCACCTACCTGCCTACCGCTGCTGACATTTAGTGCCAGACACCTTGGCTAAGAACCTTCATAGCACCCAAAGGATGACCTGGGACCCATGAATCTGAGTAAAATCTACTTCTTTCAAGGACAAGCTGCAGAGGCCAGACAAGATGGATGCCCAGCCCGATGAAAGACCTCCCCCAGGGCCACCGCCACTAGGTGTCCTGCACAATCTTACCATCTTTACTTCCACCAGTTAGCTCCAACCATAGTCTCCTATTTCTGTCCCAGAATACCCTGACTTGGGCTCAGAGCAGTCTTTTAGTTGGACATAGCCCTGCCCCCTCCCTAGATTATCCGCTTCTTTCCAGATGCTCAGACCACCACAAAAAGCCTTATGGGGACAGTGAGGAAGTCTGACTGTAGTATAGTTTCTAATGTTAGCAAGTACCTGCAGTGCTGGAGGTTATGTCTTTAGAATTTTAAGCCCGTAAAACACATACGAGAGGGAATCCTTAAAAAAAAAAAAAAAAAACAATTATTTTTTGGAGGGTGGATCCAACCTTGTAATACAGGCTTTCTGGCTAGGTAAGTGTTCTAAGAACCCATCAACATCATTGAACCAGCTAGTGTTGTTGCGAGAGGCTGTGTTTGACTTCAGTGAATTTTTTTGGAGATTCTTTCCATGTGTTTGCCCATTTCATGGCTGGGTGATTTATGAGCACACCTGCACACGCCATGCTGAGTGTTCAGCAGTTTTTGACCGAAAATGGCACATAACCTCTGTGTCCCATCCACCGTATTCACTCCATCTTGCCCCGAATGACTTATTTGGATTTCCTTGGATGAAAAAAGTCCTCAAAGAGAAACATTTTGCTGATGTGGAAGAGGTAAAGCAAAAAAGGGCTGAAGCACTAAAGACATCAAAATCGACAAGTTCAAAAACTGCTTTGAGGTGGAAAAAGTGTCTCAATAGGTGTGTTGCATCAGAGAATACTTTGAACTCTTCACTTAAGCATGTAAGAATAAATACACTATTTTTATAAATAAATTCCAGTTTTTTGGGGGTCCCCCCTCATACATGGTGGGCATCAGAAGGGCCACAGGGCCTCATTACAGGTTTGACTCTGTGCCTGGTGACCCCTATTTGCTTGCTTTTCCAGATTTACCTCTCATTAAACACCCCTTGTTCCATGTACACTGGTCTAATTGGTATCTTAAATAGAAAACAAAAATTTCTGAACCGAATATCTCCAGCATTATACTATTTTTCCCATATGGGTAGAACACATTGCTGTTAAGAAACTTGCACAATTTACTTGTTACTGTAGATTTTGTGCTCATTTTCCCAATCCTAACGGTGTCATAATCACATATCTTCTCCTAACAGTTTACCAACTCACTGTGCACAGATCAACTCTAGTAACAAAGTGCTACTATTGCATTGTAATAATTTTTCAATTCACCATTAGTTTGGCAAATATTTGAGCATCTACTGTGTGTCTAAAGTGCTGAAATTAGAGAGTGGACTTGATAACTTTCCATTTTGCTGTTTTAAGAATGCGTCATATGTTTATGCTGCTGACTCTTGTCTCGCATGCACGTTGTTTGAGAGATTCTATGGTGAGCATGTAAACTGTTCCAACACCACAGCAGAAGAAGCAGGACTTGTTGCTGTGTGAGGCCTCCAGAAACTTCCCTTGTGCACATCACACACAGGACCACGTGTCTCAAACTTATCATTGAATGCGTGCAATTGTCAGGCGTGTTGGAGTTTCTGGCACTCTCACGCTTCCATTGTCATTGTGCTTCTACAACATTCTCAAATTTCAAATACCACTTCCAAATGGTCTTGTGCCCCTTGAAGGACAGTCATGCTTCCACCATTTTCTTTGACTGTCCTGCCTGTTACACGGTGATGCTAGTGTTCATTTGATTAATGCCATCTTTTGAGCAAACATCTTACTACACATTGCTACCGTTATTCAATTTAACTTCAAAAAGTAGTACATAGATAATATCGCTTAAAATGTGTATACATTCTTTTGGCACCCTTGGTATTTTTCTATGTGTCACTGCACAAAATTGTTAATTTCAAGAGAGATAGATGCCATATCCTTATCTTTGTATGACCAACTATGCCAAACATGTTTCTCTGAAACACTTTGTTCTCAGACAGTTTGTTTTGAAAACATCTACGAATACCTATGTAGAGTTTAAGGTGACAGTTATTCCAGGATACTCTAAGATTCTCACTTGTAAAAGTAATATTTTGTTTCATTTAGAGAATTCACTAGGATGAAGAATATTGCTATGAAAGTGATTAAACCATATTCTTGCAAAGATAAAGATTAAATTTATATATCTATCTTTTTTCTTTTAAGAGTAGGTTTTGCTGGTTCGCCTGGAACAATTGTGTCCCACTTCTTATATTACAGTAGAACCCTCTCTGACCTTACAAGTAGTTTAAAGACAAATGAAATTAGTATTTACACTGAACGTAAACATCAGTTCCTGAACACAGTCTGTAGGGAGGAGAGAACCTCCAAGATGATGTGGCTCCAGACTTCAATTTTGCAGATAAGGAACTAGAAGCTCAGAAAGTTTGTGACAGAAATGAGACTTGTACCTAGAACTCTAATTTATGAGTGCCCTTTACCCTCTGCCCTTTGCCCTTTGCCTTCCTGGTACATCACGGCAAATCACTTACTCCATGTATCCTTGTGAATGTCTCCACCCAGAGAGAGGGAGGAGCCTGCCAGTGTCAAAGGTGGGGAAGAAGGGGCGTGGGGCTTTACTTCCATCCTGGCCGGCATTCCCATTTTCTGATTCTCCTTTTGGCTGAAGTACTTGCAGCTCTGCAATGTCTCGGTGGGGAATCATGCTTACGAGAACAAGGGCACCCAGCAGTCAGCGATGGCAATCTGTCAGCACTTCTACAAGCGAGGAAGCAGCTATCCTGGAAATGACACTTTTGACATCGATCCAGAAATTGAAACTGGTCATGTTTTTCTATAACCTAGAACTTGAATTCTTAGCTCCCCAATTGATACTTAAAGCCTGTAACTTCAACTCTGAAGACATTGATTTGGTCTGTGCTATTAGGGCATAGTAAGAACTATATAGCAATGACTGTGTGTCAGGTACTGTTCTGAGCCCCTTGTTATAACTCAAGAATCTTAAAAACAAACACAAAAATGGCAGGGTTTATTATTATCTCCATTTAATAGAAGACAAAAATGGCCAGGCATGGTGGCTCATTCCTGAAATCCCAGCGATTCAGGAGGTTGAGGTAGGAGAATCACTTGAGCCCAGGAGTTTGAGACCAGCTTAGGCAACATAGTGAGACCTAGTCTTTACATAAAAAAATCTTTTAATTAGCTTGGCTTTGTGATGCATGCCTGTAGTCCCAGCTACTCAGGAGGCTGAGGCAAAAGGATCACCTAAACCCAGGAGTTTGGGGCTGTGGTGAACCGTGATCGTACCACTGCACTTCTGCCTGGGCAAAAGAGTGAGACCCTATCTCAAAAAACAGCATCAAAAATACACAAAAAGATTCAGATTTAAGTGATCTGCCCAGGATGGAACTAGAAGAGACAGTGCTGAAATTTGACCCAGGCTGTCTGTGTTCTTAGCCGCTATAGTCCACCCCCTTTCACGATGGATATGACAGTTAAATAGATAAATATGATGGTTACAAAATATTACACTTGCAAAGTCTTGATGTATATAAAACTTCCTTGACCTAATAGAACTCACCAGCTAGCATCTTTGGAGGTAGGTTGAGGAGGAGGAAAAAGTATCAGAACTTGGAATAGCACAGCTTATTCTTATTAGCAAAGTTTTATTTGCAATTTGTACCTGAAATACGTATACTTAAAAAATAAATATGCAAATACTTTAAAAAATATCCACTATAATTCTTTTTTTTTTTTTTTTGCAGAGGGGTAGTAAATGTAAACAAACAAAATCTAAAATGCTTTCTTCCTTTTTTTGTTTTTAAGTGGTTATTGAGAAAAAATTGTCAGCACATAATAGTAAAAAAGCAGATTCCTAAACTTCTTAGTAAATGTTATCTTAGTCACTGCAAGTGCTTCAAATCCTATGCTTAAATGACCAAAAAAAAAAAAAAAGCGAGGGGGAGAGGGAGGATTCAAAGTTTATCTAGGCTTAAAAAGACAGGAAGGACGATAGCATTCTATAGAACACTAATGAGACAGAGTTGAGATCTTTCTCTAGCTCCAATCAACTCCAGAAATGTAGCTACGGATGTCTTAAAAACAAATGAGTCATTGCAACCCAGTGGTATTGATGTTTAGCTCTTAAAATCTGAATTCAGAAAACTAATAGAATCTGAATAATGGGTCTTAGATGTATTAACCTTTCAAAACTCAGTTTCATTGATTTATTTTAGGTTCTATATCATGTTTTTGCTCCTTTCTGTGGCAGAATGCTTCTTTGTCGAGCCAGACGAATCTTTTCACATTGGAACACCAGAAGAAAATAAACTCAACTTATTGCTGGACTTCCACAGGTGAGGGAAGCAGATGGGAGTGTAATTTATGTTTGTGTGTATACATTTCCACGGAACTAAAGTCTCCTCTGTTTTCTAGACTCCTAACAGTAGAGCTCCAGTTTAAATTGAAAGCCATTAATTTGCAGACAGTTCGTCATCAAGAGCTCCCTGATTGCTAGGACTTTACTCTGACTGTAAGTGTGGGCTGGGCTGCATTTGATTCCAGTCTGGAGAAAAATTGTTTTATCTAGTTATATGTCTACTGCACCTCAATGTAAGTTCTACAAGAGCAGGGACCCTGTCTTGTTTGTTACTGTCTCCAGTATCAAGACCAGTGCCTGGCACAGAGTAGATAAATGTTCAGACACAAAAGGAACAGGGGTTGGCAGGTTCTGTGTCAGCTCTCAGCAGCCTGTGCCTGTCTGCTTAAGGTTACCACTGCCAAGGGTTCTTGTTACTGAGTTTCCTCACCATGAATGTTTTCATGTTTGGGATCTGAACTATACATCTTTAACTTATTACAGTCTACCTTCAAGTTATATTAAACCAGTGGGAATAAGTAGAAGAACCTCACAGCAGGCCAGATGTAATCTGGTCTGTAATCCCAGCACTTTGGGAGGCAGAGGTGAGAGGATTGCCTGAGCCCAGGAACTGGATTCAGCCTGGGCAACTTGGCGAGACCTCGTTTCTATAATAAATAAAAAAATTAGCTAAGTGGAATGGTGTGCACCTGTAGTCCTAAGTAGTTAGGCTGAGGTGGAAGGATTGCCTGAGCCCAGCAGGTAGAGTCTGCAGTAGATATGAGTGTGCCATTACACTTTAGCCTGGGTAACAGAGTGAGACTCCAACTCACATACAAAAATAATAATAAAAAAAAAAACCCTTACAACAATGTACTTTCATCTCTACCTTCTTGGCCTCGATGTTATTGATGTCATATAGTTTATTTATATGTTAGTTATAAACTCCACAAAACATTATTCTTATTTTTGCTTTAGTCAACCAATCATCTTTTAAAGTGATTTAAATAATAAGAAAAAATGTCTTTGTATTTGCCCATGTAGTTCCCATTTCCAGTGCTTCATTCTTGTGGGTAGTTCCAGGTATCTATCTGGTATTATTATTTTCTTCTGCCAAAAGGGCATTTTAAACATTCCTTATAGTGCAGGTCTGCTGCTGTTGAATTATTTCAGCTTTTGTATGTATAAAAAAGCATTTTAACTTCTTTTTTAGTTATTTTTTTAAAAAAATTAGCATCTTTTAATAAATGTCTTTCTGAACACCTAGTAGTTGTTCATATTTATGGGACACAGGTGATATTTTGATACAAACATAAAGTTTCTAATGATCAAATAAGGATATTGAGATATCCATTAACATTGATCATTTCTTTATGTTAGGAACATTCTAAATCGACATCTCTATTTATCTAATAATATGCAATAAAATATTGCTAGCTGCAGTTACCCTATTGTGCTACTGAACTTTAGATTTCATTCCTTCCATCTAGCTGAATTTTTGTACCCATTTCTAACCCCTCTTTATGCCTTCCCACTATGCTTCCCAACCTCTGGCAACTTCCATTCTACTCCAAATCTTCATTTTTTAAGGGTAGTTTCTGGGTATAGAATTCTAGGTTAACCATTGCTTTGTTAAACTCTGCTGTCTCCACGTGACTCTTTGAGCTATGGCTGTCATGTTTTCTTAGCTTTGGCCCCCTCCTCTACCTTGGGGAGGTGAATCTCTCTCCTTCTCTCTCTAATTTACTTTCCAAATAAACTTTGCTTGAAAACTTAAAAAAAAAGAAAACGAATTCTAGAGTCACTAATTTTTTTTTAGAGTTCATCGAGCACCTTGGATATGTGGGTTTATAGTTGTCATTATATTTGATATTTATTCAGCACGATTTCCTCAAATATTTTTTCTTTTACTTCCCCCTACCCCTGCTATCTTTCAGAGATTCCAATTTTATCGGTATTTGGTCACCAGAAGTTGTCCCATAGCTAATTAATGCTCGGTTTGTTTTATGTTTGTCTGTTTTTTGTGTGTGTTTCATTTTGGATTGTTTCTATTGCTATGTTTTCAAATTCACTAATTTTTTTTCCTGTGCTATCTAATCTCATCCAGTATTTTTCTTTTTTGTTTGAGGAATTCAGCTTCTTCTGAGTCTTACTGAAATGTGATTGACATTAAGTCACAGTTTATTTACTCAATATATATTTAGTGAGCACCTACTATTTGTGAGACCCCGAGGCCCTTTCTGCGGGAAAAGCATGATTTATCCTTGGCAAGCATTTCTGACTCAAGCAAGTGGCACAGAGCACCTTCCTTGTGTGTGGCCATGGACTGGGACCTTCAGCTCTTGTGGACATAAGTAGATGCTGACTGTGCCCTTGGTTGTTTGTCAAGGAAGCTTCTAATTCATCATAAGAATTAGAGTGACTAAATCCTTAAAGTTATTTGAAATCTATCCAAAGTGATTTCTAATTACCCCACAAGGAGAAGCGTCAATAAAATTCATTTACATGACAGACTTTTCTGAGAAATTTTTTTCTTCAGCACTTGAGAGAGTAAGAGAAGAGGCAGAAAAAAAAGTGGACTGATTTTCTTGCTGTGCTGTCCCTGCATGGGAGGAGGGGAGGACATGAGAAAGGAAGACTGTAAAATAACTATGGAAGGTGTTTGGGCACAGCTTTTCCTTGCTTGGCGACTGGTGTCCTGAAGTGGCTCTTGACTCTCTGTCACCAAACCCTTTGTAATTCTTGGGTGGCGCCACCTAAAATGTCTTCAGGCAGAAATAGTGAGCTCTGTCTTGGTAAGAATGGTAGAAGCACTAAAAATCTACCCCTCACTGGAGTCCTGCTGGAAGTTGGGTGAAGGCATGGTTGTATACTTATTCTTCTTGCTCATATCAAGAGGGCATCTTGTGGGTACTTAGAATGGGAAGGAGGTGAAATTCTGCCCTAGAACATAGGGTTTCAGAGACTACAAGTTCTCCACAGAAGATCTAGTTCAACCTTCTTATTTCGGAGAAATAAAGGGAACTTCCCAAGGAAGAACAGAATCAGCAACAGACTAGAGGCAAGAATCTGGGTCTCCTGTCTGCTCAAAAGAATTGTTTCCTAATTCATGCATTAGGGATATCTTGGCTTCAAAAATTGCAGATATGTTTTTGACCCTCTTCTTGTCTTCACAGATAACATTTGACAACAAGGCTCATAGTGGAAGGATTAAAATAAGCTTAGATAATGACATTTCCATCAGAGAATGTAAAGACTGGCATGTGTCTGGATCAAGTAAGTGGTGAGCTTTACTGGGTTTCAGAGTGGTTATCAAATAACAGAAGATGGTTAATGTATCACTGCCCCTCTGGATAGATGGAACATCAGACAAAAGACCAGGCCACTCCCAAGTCCTTGATTGTCTGCAAGTTCAACTCATTGTAGATATCTGATGCTTCAGGCAATACATATGTCATTAGAAAACGAAATGCCTTGCTTGCTCTATGTGTTCCTAGATGCCTACTTCTGAGCCCACATACATATACCTAAAGCAGTATTTATCGAGTGTCTACTGTATAAATACTCCCACCTTCATTTTTCTTTCTTTTAATATTTTAAGATGTCCTTGAGATGGGTAGAACCCTTCTTTTTACAGATGAAGGAACTACGGCTCAGAAGTGATGCTTGGTGTCTATGGTTGTACAACCAGGGAAAAGACAGACGGGAGCCAGTCCTACAGCATCTCAGGCATTATAACTGTCTTCTACCCAGTTAAAAGTAGACGAAAGGGTCTATTCTTGGATATCTGGACAAGGATTCGGGTGTCGACTGAATACTGTCAAGAATTTTGGTGCTGAGCTGGAGAAAATTGCCTGGAAAGAATGTATCAATCTTATTTTCTAGTCTCTCATAAGTAACATAAGGGTGTGTTGTGCTGGACTGAATTATTAGGTCAGGGGTTCTTGGATTCTTAGTGGGCAGAAAAATCATCCCGGGTCCCTGTAAAGATGCAGTTTCTCCAGGTCCGTGCAAGACATTCAAGTGGACTGGGGTGAGGCCTGGGAATTTGTAGACCATCCTTATTCAGACTCTACTTGAGTAATCACTATTTCAAGGTTTTCCTACTGATTGATCTGCCGTGTTCAGAAGTAATAACGAGATAGTAAGAATGAATAAAATGAAATTTTGTCATCGCAGTATTCTTTTCACTAACAGGTGACTTCAAAGAGAAGAGGCTCTTGAATCACAGACTTGTCCATCTGAGACATAAACCTGTTTTGTCATCTGTAAATTTTGCTTCTTCACAAACTTTAGAATAAGGAAAGTGAGCACATATAAAAGTGCCTGGGGCAACCCCCTCGGGTCCCCTCACATTGAGGGAGCTTTTCTGTCCTTTCAATAAAACCTGCTTTCTAAACAAAAAAAAAAGGGCCTGGCACATGGGCTTTCTCTCAAATGTTTGTTTCTCGGTTTTTTAGTTTTTCTAAAATAGATTTAGACGTTTATGTAGTAATTAGATACCTGTGATAGACATTCATGGGATGCTTCACCACATTAAGTACTAGTCTTAAGTATGTTATCTTTCTTTTTTTTTTTGAGTCGGAGTCTCACTCTGTCACCCAGACTGGAGTGCAGTGGCTGCTCCCGCTGGGCTCTGATGATCCTTCCGCCTCAGCCTTCCAAGTAGCCGGAATTACAGGCATGTGCTACCACACCCGGCTGATTTTTTGATTTATTGTAGAGATGAGGTCTCGCCGCCCAGGCGGGTCTCGAACCCACGGGCTCAGGCAATCCACTCACCTCAGCCTCCCAAAGGCGTGGGATTACAGGCTGAGCCACCGAGCCTGGCGTACGTTATCTTTTTATCAGCATAGAGCAGTCTTCCCTGTGAGAGAGAGACACGCTTGACAGCAGACCCGTGATGGCTGACACTTCTGCTCACTTTTCTGTCTTGACTGTACTCATGCTGACCAGGACTTTGCACTTTCAGATCTCCAGACTCTCTGTAAAGGTAGTGCTTTCTCTTCATTCAGGTGACAGCTAACACCTGCTGTTCCTTCTCTGAGGTCTTCCTTTATGCTGCTGTGATATAAATGAACCTCTCTGCTCTCACCCCCCGCCCCACTGACCTCCCTGACACAGAGCAGTGGTTCTCACACTTGCGTATCACCAGAAGGACTTGCAGAACTCAGAGTTTCTGATTCAGTGCGGGGTGGGGTAGGACCTGAGAATGTGCTGCGTTTCTAATAAGTTCTCGAGGAATGCCAAGAAACACTGATGTAGAGTGATGGATGCTAGAAGTCAACTACAAAGGTTTGAATCAGCCCTGGGACCTTGGGCAAATCACGTGACCTCCCTCTGCTTCAGTTTTCTCACCTGCAAAGTGGGGATAATCACCCCCACCTCCTTGGAGTTGCTGTGAGGATCAAATAAGTGAATACATAGAAAGTACTTAGAACCATGCTGGCTCAATACATGTCAGCTATTACAACTATTTTTTAAAATATTACTTTCTCCTATCTTTTTGTTCATGTGCTTGCTTACTTCTTTGCTTGTCTCAATGCAGTGGAATAGAAGTCCCCCAGGATCAGGGACCTTGTCTATCTTGTTCATACCTTGTCTATGGTATCCCACCATCTAGAAAAATAGCTGGCACATAGTAGGTGCTTAATAAATATTTTAGACCCAGATAAGGATATTGTAATAGAATATGCAGGGATGCTAATATGCAGTCTTGCATTACAACAAAAGACCGCAAGCTGATCATGAAAGATCTTGGATTGATGGCCTGGTGATTTTTACAAGAAGGACTTTAAACCTTATTTAAATACAAATTGGAATACAGATTGGAAGAACATTTATCAGGGTTTCTTTTTTGTCTCCCTGGAGAGAATGCTTGAATAAATTATCCTAAAAAAGAAGCAGATGTCATCATATGAATGTCTTACTTTGTAATCCTCTTTGCTTCCAGTTCAGAAGAACACTCATTACATGATGATCTTCGATGCTTTTGTCATTCTGGCTTGTTTGGCATCCTTAATGCTCTGTGTTAGATCTGTGGTTAGAGGACTTCAACTTCAGCAGGTAGGGGTTGCTGCTTTCTAGAAAGGCTGCTGACATTTTGATGGACAGAGAAATTCACTGTGCTTCTCCTTTCCCTGAAGGAATTTGTCAATTTCTTCCTCCTCCATTACAAGAAGGAAGTTTCTGTTTCTGATCAAATGGAATTTGTCAATGGATGGTACATTATGATTATTATTAGCGACATCTTGACAATCATTGGATCAATTCTAAAAATGGAAATCCAAGCTAAGGTAAAAATTTTTTTCCTAATCATGCTATCATTCGTTCAGATTTGGATTCATGGTAATGTATTTTTCCAGAATTTAAGAATTTTCAGAGTACATGATTTCTTCCAAAACTTACATCCAGTAAACTTGAAATCAATAACAATAATTTTCTTAGCTCAAGTCAGGAAGTCTATTAGGCAGAGTTTTTCTTTTTCTTTTTTTTTTGAGTTGGAGTCTCACTGTGTCGCCCAGACTGGAGTGCAGTGGCTGTTCCCGGCCTCCACAGCCTCGACCTGCTGGGCTCCGGCGATCCTTCCGCCTCAGCCTTCCGAGTAGCCAGAATTACAGGCGTGCGCTACCACGCCCGGCTCATTTTTGATTTACCGTAGAGATGAGGTCTCACCTGCCCAGGTGGGTCTCGAATCCACGGGCTCAGGCAATCCACTCACCTCAGCCTCCCAAAGGCGCGGGATTACAGGCTGAGCCACTGAGCCTGGCTCTAGGCAGTTTTTCAAAGTGTTATCTGCAAACCAATGCATCAGAATCCTTTGAACGCCTATAAAAATGTTCCATATTAGATATACTACATCCTAACTCCTCTAGTGAGGCATGTGAATTCTTATACACCCAAAACTCATACACCAAGGTAATTAAGGTAAGAGCTTTTTACAAAATCTTACAAGAAATGCTAGAAGCTGGGTGTGGTGGCTCATACCTGTAATCCCAGCCCTTTGGGAAGTGGAAGCAAAAGGATTGCCTGAGCCCAGGGGGTGGAGACAGCTGGAGATTGCCTGGGCAACTTGGTGAGACTTCATCTCTACAGTAAATCAAAAAATTAGCTGGGAGTGGTGGCGTGTGCCTGTGATTCCAGCTTCTTGAAGAGTGAGATGCCAACTCAGAAAAAAAGAAGGAAAAAAAGAAAGAAAAGAAATGCTAGAATCTTCTATAAAAAATGAGTGGGGCTGGAGGGAAAAGTGAGGTCAAGATACTGTTGTGTTTCCTTGTCCATTCAAAGTGAGAATGCTCCCATTTTGTGTGTGTGTGTGTGTGTGTGTGTGTCGGAGTCTCATTCTGTCGCCCAGACTGGAGTGCAGTGGCCGCTCCCGGCCACCGCAGCCTCGACCTGCTGGGCTCCAGCGATCCTTCCGCCTCAGCCTCCCAAGTAGCTGGAACTACAGGCGCGCGCTACCATACCCGGCTAATTTTTTTTTAAATTTATTGTAGAGATGAGGTCTCACCAAGTTGCCCAGGCGGATCTTGAACCCGCGGGCTCAGGCAATCCACTCATCTCAGCCTCCCAAAGGTGCAGGATCACAGGCTGAGCCACCGAGCCCGGCCCATTCTTTTTCTTTTCCGTGTTAGAGATGTGGTCTTACTCTGTTGCCCAGTCTGGAGTACAGTGGTACAATCATGGTGATCCTTCTACCCCTAGCCTCTCAAGTTCCATTCTTTCTTATGTCTGTCCCACTCAGGCAACCCTATAGAATATGTTCTTTCCAATGTCCTCCCATTCTAATAAGTCCAATAATTAATTATTTATTCTCCTTTTGACCTACCAGCAGTTTTTAACACTGCCGAACGCTCCCTCTTTGATGACAAACTTGTTCACCGGGTTGTCACTTACCTGGTTTTCCTCCTAAGTCATTGACTGGTCTTCTGACTTTCCTCTGCTGGTTCCCTCTCATCTCATCAGCCTTCAAGGCATAGTGCTTGGACATCTCTTTTCTGCCACTGTCTTGATAACCTCATCCTGTCCCATGGCTTGAAATAGTATTAGTTTGTCAGGGGTTCCCAAATCTAACTCTTCAGCTTGGAATTCTACCCTGAACTCTAGACTCAATTCTGTATCTCCATTTGGATGTCTGCTTTTCCTCTCGTGGTTAACCTACCTAACACAGAACTTCTAAAATCCTCACCTCCACAGTCCAAACATTCTTCACCCACAGCCTTTCTAATTTGAGTCAATGGCAACTTTCATCAGTTGCTCAAACTCCAAACCATAGCTCATCATAGACTCCTCTCCTTCATTAATTCCCTCTCTCCCACATCTAATCCAAGAGGAAATCCTATTCATTCCTTCAAAAATCACCTCATCACCTCTGCTATGACCAACTTGGTCCAAGCCACCTGTATTATCACGGTAGACTCCTCACCCCTCCAACCATCTGCTCTCAATCACAGCAGCCAACGTTTGATCATATCACTCCTATTCAGGTATCTCAAATCTCCCCAACAGAGTCAGCGTCAAAGACAAAGTTGTGAAGTACTGCTTTATCTCTGACTGCAAACTCTATTGCTCATTCCAGCCAGATTCGCTATCTTGCCAGGCACGCTCCTCTCTAGATTTTTGCTTGAATGTTTCCCTCACTGCCTTCAGATCTTTGCTCAATGCCACCTTTTTCATGGGACCTTCCCTGATCACCCAATTTAAAATTACAAAACCATGCTTATTCCTTAGCCCCTTTCCTAAATATCCTCTCCAGCAATGACTATCAGTTAATGTGCCAAAGGTTCTATTAATTTATTTATACTGTCTCGTTATATTCCCGCCTTCACTGGAATGGTGGATCATGAGGATGGAGAATTTTGTTTGTTCACTGCTTTCTCCTTAAGACCCAGAACAGTGCCTGATTCATAGCTATCTCAATAAACTTTTCTTATCCAAATGAATTTCTGTTATATGATCTGACTATATTTTTTTCCTGCTCTGTCTTAGAGTCTGACAAGTTATGATGTCTGTAGCATACTTCTCGGGATTTCTACCATGCTTGTGTGGCTTGGAGTCATCCGATACCTCGGTTTCTTTGAGAAGTACAATGTAAGGAGTTCATGAATCTGCATGCTATTGGTATATCTCTCAAGGCCATTGCACTGCTTTGACTGAAGGGCAAAGGGATTCTAATGACCTCTCTTACTTTCCCAGCTCCTGATTTTGACCCTTCATGCTGCGCTACCCAACGTCATCAGGTTCTGCTGCTGTGCGGCCATGATTTATTTAGGCTATTGCTTCTGTGGATGGATCGTCTTGGGGCCTTACCATGATAAGGTACTGATAAACAACTGTTTTCCCATTATTATTAAGCTCTTAGCATAGGGTTGGTGGCTTTCTATCCTTTTTCTTCTTTTTTTTTACTTTTAAAATGTATATTTTATATTTATTCGTCACTCTTGTGATGCAGGGCCGTTTTATTTTTTTATTTTTATTTTAAAGATGTGGGGTACAATTCAGGTTTAGGGTCATAACAACGTACAGCTGAAGTTTGGGCCTCTGATTGGTCTTCACTTCACCTGATTTAGGATCAGCTACCCTTATTGATGTTATGTGCCACCCCCCTCCCTGGCAATGTCCCAATACTGCCAATCCCTTGCTTACAGTATTATGATAAATGATCAGGGTCTGCTTATGAATGGGAACATGGGCTACTCAGTTCTTTGTTTCTGTGGTTATCCTTTTTCAATGAACCCTTTTATTTTGTGATTCAGCCTTCAAATGTTGAAGGTAGCATTGTTCAGTGTAGCCAACTTGAGAGAATAATTGACTCACTCAACTATTTCAACTTTTCTTTTTAGCAATATTTAAGATAATTAAGTCTCTTTTTATCACCAGTTAAGTCAAGTTTAGTCAATCTGATGCCTTGGTATACACTAGGCTGTTTAGCCTAACCTTCTGAAAATGTGATTTTCTTTAAAAAGTAGTACAGGGAGAAATTGGTAGAAATATTTGAAATATTACCAGAGCTACAGCCTTGAATATTATGCCATTGTCTTAAATGGAAAGAACTTTACAATGAGCTATCTGAGTGTGCATGGTTGGTACTGGTATCTCTAGGGAAGTGTTTCAGGGATCTCTTTCTGTAGAGGTAAAGGGGAGGGGTAAGGTTTGACTCAGAAGAGTACTGAGGTGCAGACCAGCCCTTTCTGCATTTAGTTCAGGCTGCTGCAATTAAGAGGAGCACCGAGTCTGGGCGTGGTGGCTCAGCCTGTCATCCCAGTACTTTGGGAGACCAAGGCGAGAGGATTGCCTGAGCCCAGGGGTTCAAGACCAGTCTGGACAATTTGGTGAGACCTCGTCTCTACAATCAATCAAAAAACAAACTGGGCATGTTAGCATGCACCTGTAGTTTCAGCTACTTGGAAGGCTGAGGTGGAAGGATCGTCTAAGCCCTGCAGGTCGAGGCTGTGGTAGCTGTGAGCGTGCCACTGCACTCCACCCTGGGTGACAGAATGAGACTCCAACTCAAAACCAAAACAAAACAGCAATAAAAGAGAGGAGCTCCAAGAGATAGCTGCTTATCTCAGGACAGACAACAGTAGGCTTACACATGCTATATACATCACAAAGCAAGTGTGTGCGGCTACCTTGGGTTATGTGTTTGAATAGTTGAACTTGGGCTATCTCTGGTTCCATTATGTTTAATATGATGTGATGAACAAGGTCTCCAATGGGAAGAGACATGGAATAAAGTGAACTTTCCTTTTTTCTTTTTCCAGTTCCGGTCTCTGAACATGGTCGCTGAGTGCCTTTCCTCTCTGATCAATGGAGATGACATGTTTGCCACATTTGCAAAAATGCAGCAAAAAAGTGACTTGGTCTGGCTGTTTAGCAGAATTTACCTCTGCTCATTCATCAGCCTCTTTATACATATGATTTTAAGTCTTTTCATTGCACTGATCACTGATACATATGAAACAATTAAGGTAAGTTTGTCAAGAATCGTAAGTAGCGGCATTCTTCTTGAACTTGTGTAATAGCAGCAAAAATTTGTTACCTAAGGTGGGGGAAGCTGATGGAGTAATTTCAGGATGAAGGAAAAGGGACCTCAATTTTAGAGACTTAGGAACAAACACAGAGGAGAAATAGGACTTCTAAAATGTCGAAAGTCTTGTCTCTAAGTAATAGTGCTTTTTCAAGCAAGCTCTGTAACTTTTTATTCCAATGACAAAGATTCAGTAGCTATTGAGTGAAAAAAACAGATGGCACTTCAGAGGGCCAACATTTTGTGAGCAGCTTTAAAAACCCAGTTTTTATGTTCTGGCTTCTTGGAAGGCTGTGGTGGAAGGATTGTTGAGGTCCAGCAGGTCGACAACAGAGTGGCAGTGAGTGTGCTACCACACTCCAACCTGGGGGACAGAGTGAGACTCCGACTCAAAAAAAAAAAAAAAAAAAAATCCAATAGTCTATTGCTCTTTGCAAGGCACTGCAAGACACAAGCCCAGGGACCTGGCCTCCAAATTAGCAAAGGGATTGATGGGTCTAATCCGAGTCATGCACGCTTTATACAGTCAGATACCTGATTTGAAAAGTTGTTGTCACCCATATGAGATATCTTAAAAATCAGTTTGAGCCCTTTGAAATATGGAAAAGCAGAATAAACACCCACATATACTTATATTTCTAATAACCTTACACTGTGAGGTATACTCTTGGCCTAGGCACTTCCACTTGGAGACTCTTCTTTCTGGTATGAGAGGAGTAAAATAACATGATGTCGTATGATTGACCCGAGGAATAATGAGAAAACCTTGGTTTGGAGTTGATAATTAGGAATATTTTGCTCATGAAACCAGGGCTATGAATTCATTCTTACCAAATGAGATTTCAGGGACTAAATGTCTTCCTCACCGTCTTCAGTACCTGTTCGGCAGATGTGTGCTTATGATCACTAAGGAAAGTGGGAAGGACGTGGTTGTAACTATTCAGATCCCTCCCGTGATGTTCTCTAAGTTCACTGCCTTTGTGAACATACATAGAAAACGATTTGTTATTCTAGGGTGACATCGACAATTCTAAGAGTAACATGGGTTTTCAACTCTTTTTTTTTTTTGAGTTGGAGTCTCACTCTGTCACCCAGACTGGAGTGCAGTGGCATGCTCCTGACCACCGCAGCCTCAACCTGCTGGGCTCAGGCGATCCTCCCGCCTCAGCCTTCCGAGTAGCTGGAACTACAGGTGTGCGCTACCACGCCCAGCTAATTTTTTTGATCTATTGTAGAGACGAGGTCTTGCTAAGTTTCCTGGGTGGGTCTTGAACCCGCTGCCTCAGGCAATTCACTCATCTCAGCCTCCCAAAATGCTGGGATTATAGGCTGAGCCACCGAGCCTGGCCGGTTTTCAAATCGTGATGGCATAAGCCCAAGACCCACCTTTTAGGTGCTGCTAACCTCTTTCCTTGGGCTCAGAGCACTTGCCAAGTGGGCTGGCTAAGTTATTTCTGATTCTAGGGTTCTTGGACCCCAAACTGATGTGAGGCCCTTAAACAAGCATGCCTGCCTGGAAGTGTTGACTTCAAAAGTGTGTGCAGGTTGGAGAGGTCCCTCATGGCATACCGATTTTTATCCAGACACCTGGGCCAGCCCAGGAGTGTCCAAGGCTGTGCTGAGGTCTTCCAGGGAAGACTAGGGTTGTCCACCCCGCAGCCTGCAATAACCACACCCTGTTAGCCTAGATTAGCCAGGCTTCTTGTGACCTAAGATTGGTCCCATTTAAGATTCCTGCTTCCTACTGGCCTGGATGTCACGGGGCTACAGGGAACAGTAATGACAGAGGTTCTCAAAAGTGAATGGGCCTGGCTTGTTTCTTTCTGGAAAGAGGACTCCAATTTCACATGCTCATTCTAGGTTGCAGTAGACCCAGAAAAGAGCTCAGGAGAGCCACCATAGAAGCCCGGGTCCACTTTTTCTCAGCGAAACTGAAGAGTGACCCTTGAGGCCATATTTCCTTGCCAGGAAATATGTACTTGAAAGTACTTGAAAGTGACTAAACAATCTCTCCAGAAAAATCCCTTCTCTTGCCTAATGATCCATTTTTGAATTTGGAATAAAGCTGTTTTCAAAGGGTCTAACTAATGAAAGCTTTAAAAATTCTTCTGTATAGCATTACCAACAAGATGGCTTCCCAGAGACTGAACTTTGGACATTTATATCAGAGTGTAAGGATCTACCCAACTCTGGAAAATATAGATTAGAAGATGACCCTCCTGTATCTTTATTCTGCTGTTGTAAAAAGTAGCTCTCGGGCTTATCTGTGATTTAGAGGACAGTATAATATGTGACTGAGCTGGAAGACTGTGTGGATATTTTGAGGTCAGATGTAGTATGCTTGAAGACTATTATTTTGAGCTAATTGATAATTCACAAAGGACTATGTTTATATGTAAGAGCAATATTTAATGTCTTTACAGTTTTATGCTGGGCTTGCTTTAAAAAACTCTGATGAGGGAAGCTACTGAATTATTATTTTATTTTGCCATAGCTTTAGAAGGTGTTCTCAGTGCTTCTCTTTAGCTCTTATATTCTTACCTCCAGCTATTCTGACCGTGTGGATTATGTCATCAGTAGAAAACAAGCCCTGGTCTGACATTGCTTCAGACAACTTGGTGGCCCTGGTCTGGACTGCTCTCGGGTTCATCCAATAATCATTGCATTTAAAATCCCTCAACCAGATGCGGTGGCTCACACCTATAATCCCAGCAGTTTGGGAAGCGGAAGCGAGGGGATTGCCTGATTTCCGGGGTTGGAGACCAGCCTGGGCCACTGGGTGAGAACTTGCCTCTACAATAAATAAAAAAATTACCTGGGTGCAGTGGTGTACACCTATGGTTCCAGCTACTTGGAAGGCTGAGACAGAAGGATCATCTGAACCCAGCAGGTCGAGCCTGCGGTGGCCATGAGCATGCCACTGCACTCCAACCTGGGTGACAGAGTGAGACTCCGACTCAAAAAAAACAAACAAACCCTCAATAGGCAGAATAAGAAACGGCCATCACCAGCTAACAGCACAATACAGTCATGTGTCACTTAACGTTAGAGATATGTCCCGAGAAATGTGTCTTTAGGCGATCTTGTCCTTGCGTGAATATCATAGAATGTTCTCAGACAATCCTAGATGGTGTAACTTGCTTCACACCTAGAATATATGCTATAATAGCCTCTCACTCCCAGGCCTCAAACTTGTGCAGCATGTTCCCATACTGAATACTGTAGGCAACGGTAACATGAAGGTAAGTATTTGAGTATCTCAACATAGAAAAGATACAGTAAAAATATGACTCATGGGACCAGCGTTGTACATGCAGTGTGTCATTGACTGAAACATTGTTACGCGGCTCATGACTGTATTTGGCTTGGAAGGACAACTGTTCATTGATTCTGCTTTTAATTCTGAAGAGGATTAGGTTTTTAAATATTCATCTACAAGTTTTCTCTCTTTCAGTGTTAAAGTACAGAGGTGAAAGAGTATCTTATAGATGTATGACAATTAAAGCATATACCAAATGCATGTTTGATACAACAATGATTATTTTATTAGTGATTGAGCATCCTGTGAAAACTTGTGATGTATTGTGTCTTTCATAGGCCCAGTAAGTCTCACAATGAAGTGTTATAGGATCATAAGGTGTGGTCTCATGGGACAAGTTTCTATAACTTATATTAAATATATTTTTGTAAGCAATTATGCTCAAAATTTTAAAATAAGTGAGAAACATGTGCCTTAAAAAGACACAAAAATAGTCTCTATTCCTTGTAGACTGCTGGTTGATAATTGCAGGGATTTTCAAAGCCCAAGTGTTTATTTTGTGTACTGTTTATTCAGATAGAAATGAATTCAATCGTGTGCAATAAAGACCTTCTCAAAGCAAACTTTTTTTTTTTTTTTAAAGGAAACTGATTTTTGAATTTCTGATTTTGTTTTAAGGACTAAATGAAAATAGCCTCGAGACACTAAAATGCTATTATTTAATTATAATGACACCGGGGGTTGAAATTTAAGGTTTTACAACAGGCATAAGTTATTTTTGTAGTACCTGTGGCTTTTTTTTTGAGCTGGAGTCTCACTCTGTCGACCAGACTGGAGTGCAGTGGCCGCTCCCGGCCACCGCAGCCTCGACCTGCTGGGCTCCGGCGATCCTTCCGCCTCAGTCTTCTGAGTAGCCGGAATTATAGGCCTGCGCTACCATGCCCGGCTGATTTTTTGATTTATTGTAGAGATGAGGTCTCACTGCTCAGGCGGGTCTCGAATCTGCGGACTCAGGCAATCCACTCACCTCAACCTCCCAAAGGCGCGGGATTACAGGCTGAGCCACCGAGCCCAGCTCCTGTGGCTTTTAAGAAATGAAAAATCAAAATATCCAGGCAAGTATTTTTTTGAGACATAGTTCTAATATTTGTATCACTGTCATTTTTTGAATTTAGTATGATCCCGTAGGGTAAACCCTCTTTACTCTTTGTGAGATTTTTAGACTAGCAATAATACTTCAATAGAAACATGAAGCCACAGACCCAGTGCTGGGCCTACAGTTTTGCTTTGCTTTGAAGTCATGGTGTTTCTTCTGTGGAATTACAGCCAGTGACTTGGCGCCTCCATGTCTCTCTCTTGATCTTCCAAGCTTTCTTGTTGTGGCAGCAGTCCCTGATAAAGTCCAAGCCCTAATATTCAGTAATGCCCATGAGAGAATGGCTCTACTATTTCCTGAAAGAAGCAGCACTGAATGACTTTTATGAACTGTCCCCAAACCAGTACAAAAGCTTGATCCAAATGAGCAGATAGATTATGGGCCAGTCATTCAAGAGTTCTCCATAAATGTGTGTTCCTTAGAGAAGGAACAGAGAATGGAAGCCATTTTTTTTTTCTTAAGCTTCTGATCGTCTTAGCTGGGATTTCTGTTGGTTATACTTCTTTTTCTAGAAGATGGGTTCTTGGTCCCTTCCTCCCGCTATAATAATTTTCAAGCTTATGGGCATACAGATCATTGGGGAATCTTGTTAAAATAATAGATATTCTGGTCAGGCGCAGTGACTCACGCCTGTAATCGCATAACTTTGGGAGGTGGAGGCAAGAGGGTTTCCTGAGCCTAGGGGTTCGTGACCAGCTTGGACAACTTGACAAGCCCTTGTCTCTACATAAATAAAAAAAATTAGCTGGGTGTGGTGGTGCAAGCCTGTGGTTCCAGTTATTTGGAAGGCTGAAACAGAAGGATTGCCTGAACCCAGTAAGTTGAGTCTGCAGTGGTTGTGAGTGTGCCACTGCACTCCAGTCTGGGTAAGACTCTGACTCAAAGAGAGAGAGAGAGAAAAAAATAAGATATCCAGGTAATACCACCAGCAGATATTTTTTAAAGAGTATTTTTTCAACCAGACTCAGTGGCTCAGCCTGTAATCCCAGCACTTTGGGAGGCCGAGGTGTGTGGATTGTGGGTTCGAGACCAACCCGGGCTTCTTGGTGAGTCCTCATCTCTACAATATATCAAAAATTAGCCGGGTGTGTTAGTGTGTGCCTGTAGTTCTGACTACTTGGAAGGCTGAGGTGAAGGATCTCTGGAGCCCAGCAGGTCAATCTCTGCACTCCAGCCTAGGTGATGGAGTGAGACTCCGACTCAAAAAAGAAAACAAAAAAACAAAAAAAGCCAGAGTAATTTATGAAAGCCTAAGCAGAGATTCTTATTTGCCAAGTCCTAGATGGAGTTTCTAATGCAAGTAGTTTGTGGTGGCTGTGGCCCAGAGCTGATCCAAGAACAGCCCCTTTGCGGGGGCTACAAATAATAAACTGTTTGTAAGGCTCAACCTGGCCTTCTGTTAGTCAGAGAGAAACCACATTAGTCAAGAGATAAACTCAAGTAATAAGTGGTTTATAGCTATCAACTTGGATATTTTAGGATTTTGTGCTGTCTGTTAAAATCATTTTTAGGTAGATTTTGATTTTGCTGATGACATTAAAAAATTCAGATGCCATTTTCTTCTTTCACTGAATAAAGTTTAAGAATATCAGATACATATTGACTTCTACTCTTTCCTGTCCCAGCACACCATTTTCAAATTAAATTAATACATACAAACAGAAGCATATGGATTAGAAGAAAAAAGATAAAACTCTCATTATTTGCAGAAAGATGATCTACATAGAAAGTTTAATAGAATCAACAAATCTCAAACTTTTTAGAGGATTCAACAAAGTTATTGAATGTTAAAGTCAACTTCAAAACTTTCTGAGTTCCCATTCCACTATTGATAATCATCTAGGAAACACAAAAGAGATAAAATAACACTCATGGCAAAAAAAAAAAAAAAAAATTATAAATTCTCCAGCAGTTATCCTAAGGTAGAAAGCACAAGACCTTGTGAGAAAATGTCAAAAATTTCATTATAGGACATAAAAAAAATATGAATAATTGCAGTGATAATGTATTTATGAATGGGGCCAACAACACAGTATTTAGTTCTCTTTAGTTTATCCATAAAGTCAATCTAACAGCTATAAAAGTTCCAGGTGTTTTTTGTGAAGGTCAAAAAATTATTTCTAAATTTGAAAATTCATTTGAGGCAAAAGGTCCATGGTATTAATAAGATTTTTAACAGAAGAACAAAGAGACCAATGAATATCATATAGTGCTTAGAAATAGACTCATATTTGTATATTTGACAACTTGTTATAAGATAAACTGTCACATAAAACAAGGGGGAAAAGAACAAACTTTTAAGACAGTGGTTGGTAAACTACAGCCTGTGGACCAAATCTAGCCTGCTACCTGTTTTTGTGTGGTCCTTGAGCTAGTAATGGTGTTTATATATTTTTTAATAGTATGAAAACATTAAACAAGGATGAAGATGTAATTGATCAAAAGTTGGGGATGCAGTAAAAGCAATGGCTAGAGAAAAATGTATAGCATTGCTGGCATATCTTAGGAAAGAAGAAAGATCTAAAAATCAATCATCTAGGTTTCCACTTTAGAAAACGGGGGGGGGGGGGGGAGAAGAAGAGCAAATTAAATTCAAAGTAAGCAAAAAATAGAAATAAAAATTACAGCAGAAATCAATGAAATTAAAAACAGGAAATCAATAGAGGAAAAACCAACAAAACCAAAAGCTGTTTCTTTGAAGAGATCAATAAGCCTTTAGTAAGCTAAATTAAAAAAAGAGAAAAGACATACATCACTAATATTAGAATTGAAAGAGGGAACACCATTACAGATCCCATGGGTATTAATGGGCTAATAAAAGAATATTATGAACAATTCTATGTCCACGAAGTTGAAAATCTAGATGAAATGGATCCACCCATTCAAAGACACAATTGCCAAAACTCACACAAGAAGAAATAGATAACCTGAATAGGACTGTCTTTATTAAATAAATTAAATAAAGAGTGAATAACCCTCCGAAACAGAAAGCACCAGACCCAGATGGTTCACTGAAGA